TCAAAATTACCGGAACTGAATCGACGAAACCAAAATTGCGCGTGATTGGCTCTTACAGTATCAGGACCATAAACACTATTCACATTTTTAGCCGCCTGGCTTGCGTTTTCGCTTTTATCGAAGAAAAACTGTAAAATATGGCGTATTTTCTCTTTGCTGGTGTCCATCTTTGACGCGCGCTCAAACAATACTGAGTAAAGCAATCACAAAACTGTCTGAGAGGTTTTTTTAGTACGAAATCTTATCTTTCTAACGCCATCTGGCGTAATCCGATCGGACTTATACAATGCGAGATACAGATTAGTAAAGCCCTCTATTGGAAAAATAATGGATTACTTTTTACTAGACTTAATATTAAATAGTGTGTTAATATCGCCGGTATCATATCAAAATATGAGTAGAGAATTGAGATTGTTTGAACACGGTATGAAAATATGTCCAAACATCATCGTCTCGGTGGAACATCTTCGTAAAGGAAGGATATGGGAATGGATCAAGATTGGCAATGTAATCATAAAGAATATCTCATCGAATAAATGGCCGAAGTAAATACGTGCATCATGTCACTATTTTGTATTCCTTTTGCATCTGTTTCAAATATATTTAATATCGTCATACAAAAATATATATATTTTTAGAGTCTTCATGAAATATGAAACATGAAAGCGAAACATTATTATGAACATTACGTATGACTAAATATTGATTTTCTTCTAGGTATGTCATTTTTTTCGATTTAGGTGTAATGAGCAGGAAATGCCTGACAATACAAAATTTTTTTTGATGGGAATGAATTGCGAACTGCAACCTATTAAAGTAGATGACACTGCGGACCTATTAAAGTAGATGACAACGTCTACGTCCATTTTCCGTAAAATATGGAATATGCAATGAAGTACAATAAAGTTTTCTAACAAAAGTTTTTACTGCTTAACGTTACTTTTGACACATTGTTAATAATTATTANAGAGTCTTCATGAAATATGAAACATGAAAGCGAAACATTATTATGAACATTACGTATGACTAAATATTGATTTTCTTCTAGGTATGTCATTTTTTTCGATTTAGGTGTAATGAGCAGGAAATGCCTGACAATACAAAATTTTTTTTGATGGGAATGAATTGCGAACTGCAACCTATTAAAGTAGATGACACTGCGGACCTATTAAAGTAGATGACAACGTCTACGTCCATTTTCCGTAAAATATGGAATATGCAATGAAGTACAATAAAGTTTTCTAACAAAAGTTTTTACTGCTTAACGTTACTTTTGACACATTGTTAATAATTATTAATATATTTATATGTATTGATATATTTTTAAGTATTAATGTTATGAATATTATTAATACAGCTATAATTATGATAATAATACCTTTATAATTTAAAGTTTATGCTGCTTGATTTTATTTCAGTTTAATATGACAGTGTAAAATCTATACGTATATTGTATCTATATGTATATTAAATCTATATGTATACCAGGTGTAGAAGTATAAAACCGGAATTTTTATTTTAAATTACACCTCTATTGTTTGAAAATGATAAAAAATATTTTATTCAAAATAATGTC